GAAAAAAAATGGTTTTGGGATTACGTGTAACATTATTTTATTGAAAAATGTGTAATTTATAAGAAGAGAAAGAAAAATGAATTATAATTTTAATTGGGGCCAAATAGATTCTTTACAATTATTTTGGTTTAAGATATTACTATTTTATCGAGTATTCTTCTATTACTGGTCTTTCTTGGAAGTTGAGTATAATCAATGGATAAAAAGAGTTAAATTCTAACTATATTTTCTTCAAATAGTGAGGAATATTATGAAGTGTCTTAAATTTTTTCCTTCGGCTACCAAAAGCATGTATCAATTATTATAGTTATCATAGATACAAAATTACGTGAAAAAAAAGAAAAAAGAAAAAAGAAAGATTCAGAGAGATTAATCTCCTAGGAGGCACGTTTATTGAAATTATGTTCTTTATCAAAGATGAAAATCTTTCGAATCAAGATCTCGTATCTCACGTATTATAATTTTTTGGTAAGCACTTAACCTTTCTTTCTATTTGTAATAATATTCTCGACATCCACCATCTAAGTACCTCTTGTTACCCCCCAAAATCAGAGGCTCCAGATCAGCACTCCACACAGATTGCCACGTACACAGCATATCCACGTGGACTTCCAAGCGTTCCTTATAGTCAAGTGAAAGCAAAACCAGTTGAAAAGTTTACGGGGGATTCAACAAAGTCAAGGACGACAGAGGAGGCCATTGTCCGAAGACAAGCAAGTGCCGAATCTGTATTTATCCGATGTCCCCTTCAGCTCAAATAATGAAGGTCTGCTTAAAGCCCTCCTATGTGATGCAGAGGCTCCTCATGTTCGAAGTACTGAAGCACGGAATCTCAACTGCACCAGATGTCCATAAGTCCGAAGCTGACCTCAACACACTAATGTCCACGCTGCCTCCCAACAGATTAGAAGATTCTCATAGAACTGATTGATAGGACGTCTGTAATAAAGTGTCTGTAACTTTTAATATGTCAGTATGTCAGCCTATTACTAGCACGCCTGACCCTTTGTCAAACATTGAATACAATGAATGGACGTGATGTGAGTCTTTGGTCTAGGAGATGTTGCCACGTGGATGTGATCGGACGGTCACCACGTCGGCTAGATTAGTATAAATAACCTCTCTTTGTACTAAAAACGGACATGCAATCAAGAAATAAAGAATATCTTTATACGCTTAGCTTTATTTTACAAAACATAAGGAAGAACACACGTTTATATTCAAAGAATATACAATACATTTTCATATCTATCCTTCCACATATTCCAATACGAAAGGAGTGATTTAGTTAAACGGATCAAGCATTCGTTGATAGCGCGAGTGCTTTTCAAACCCAATCGCTGGAGTCCGAACATTTGTGTCTCTCGTCGGAAAGTGTCTCCCACGTTCATAAATATCAAATCTCCGTCCCTATTCCGGAAGAAACGTGCCGGATCAGCACTTGACGTGGCAATAGTGGGTCCGACATCTGTTGAGTTCATTTTTTGGGGTCAACACCTCTCATATTATAATTTTTTTGGTAAGCATACTGCATATGACCTCTCTTTCTACTATTTGTGACGATAGTCTTGAGCAATAATAAAGTTTACTTCATTTATATACTTTTTATGCTGATGAGTACGACTTCACAAACGCATTGAAGAACTTCATGCGCAGATATCTAAGATTTTGAAGCGGTGCGTTATACAATGGAATTTTTTCTATATCAATGCAAAAGGTTACAATGTCACTACAATATTAAACGGGTAAAGAACTATGCCAAAACCTGCGCTACTCTATTGTGTAGGAGGCTAAAAACTCCTATTCGAGTAAAAGTAAATGAAAAAAACAAAGAAAAGTCGTTACCTTATTTTTTCATTATACGTTCTCTATCAAATTACTATTCCCAAATACATTTTTTGAAAAAAAAAAAAGGGGCTCAAACATGACCTAGATTCTAAGATTCAATGATTTAGCCATTTGAGAGAGCAATGATCTCAAAATCACTCGTGTAGGCTCAACTAAATGAATTCGATAATAATGAGTAAATAAAAAAAAAATTAAGGGTAAAAAATAGGGGGGGAAAAGACCAGACAAAGTGCAATAATATCAAATCCCACATGCAACTACAACAAACAAATATTACAACTGAGTGACAGCAAAATGAAAATGTTATTTGACCAACTCTGAACTTCGTACTGGAACATATGTTTTGACAAATGCAACTAAATTGAAAAGAACGAAACATAAAAAGGCACTCATATATGTAGTTTTCCTATAGGATTACAGTACAAAATGCAGCAACCAACAAGCCTTTGGGCATACAATAGTATAAAACAGACAAATTATTGCTCTAATGAGCATTAGGATTACGTAACGTCATTGTCACGCTCTTTTCTTTATTCGGTTCGAAGTTACATGTCTAGCATTTTGCCGGATGAGGAAGTTTGCACTTCGCCGGCAACTGCATGGCAAGATTCGGGTCGATTCCCAGTGAGGGCAAGAGTTTGGAGTTCTTGTAGGAGCAAAGGCAGCGCAAGTCTGCTTGCGAGAGCGCAGAACAACAGGCAGCCGAGGGAGGTGGTGGGGTTGGGGGTGAAGCCGCTGGCCTGCATGCCATCAGACCCTCCCCGGACATGTTGCATATGGTTTGTGCATTTGATACCTCGAGAATGTTACTAATCATGGCTACACACAACAGCAGCATCAAAATTGCAATTTTCTGATATGATTCCATATTATACAAGTTAGTATAGTCTATTGCTTTTGCTTGCTGGGGTTCAATGAAATGCATGGGGTAGTTTATATAGAAAGAAGACGATGGGGTGGGGTGGGGGTTAAAGAGACATGAAACAATAAGAATAGAAGCCCGTGAATGCACATTGGCATACCTTTATAAAATAACTGTGTTGTCACGGGCTCTGCATTTGTGGTGTGGGAATCGATGAGATGTCAATTCTAGAAACATGGTCGTTATATCAAATTGAGATTAAATTAAAAATTTGATCATTTCTCATGATCGAATCAAATTTGTCTTGTCCTGAAATTTATAAGGTAATTAGAAGGCTACCAGCGCGATGGATTGAAGAGGAAAAGGAAAAACCTTACAGCTTCTTTGGCTGCTAAGATTTGCATTAAGATTCAGAAATCTTCCACAACTCCCATTGGATGTACATCTTCGAAACCATCAGACCAACATGACCTGCCACTTTGTGAGAAAATATGAACCTTCAACACTAACTGCGCCGCATATTTCAATTTAAACTCTCTCAGAGGATTAGCAGGCAGTGAATGGATATTATGCTCAATTATATTCATTGAGAACTAAGCATGCTAATCTGCATAGTAATTTCAGCAAGCCATAATGTTGATCACCACCTCATGTTGATCTTTGAATTGGAGCAAACTAAGCAACTAATTGCAGAGAAAGGAAAAAACACAGTAATGAAAATCCACAGTAAATAACAAGCATGTTTGCAGCAAAAACATAATAAAGCAAATCAACAGTAAATACTTCAACACGTTCTAGTTTGCGAAACTTAAAAACCAGAAATAAAGTAACTAGAATAAGTTACCAATTTTTCAGAGCAAGGCATAACGGCTTGTTATTGTTACACCAGTCATAGCAAGAAGTTGCATCCTCTTTTTTGAACTAAAATCTGTTTCAGATGATGTTTCTGGCTTCAGCAAGTGAACTAACTCCTACTAATTTCAATTACCCCAGGAAGCAATCAGCTAATGCTCGGATCAAAATATTGGTGGCGGAAGCAAATGGCATCCGGTAGATAGGAGAAGAATATTTACCAATAAAACTTCTTCAAGATTACAGATGCCCCCGTCTTTAAACACTATTTCTAAGTAATATATGAAGCAGCTCCACGCAGATCGAGATAGCATCTTCTAGAGGTAAAGCTAATGGAATGATAAATATTCAGCAGAAACTACTTTGAGGAAATGAACCAGGTGGTAAGGGCATTATGAACACTAGAAAACTAACTCTCATCAGTAACAGTTTCCATATAATTCTCGAACACCTTGTATATGATCATACATATGATTTTTCACAGAAAGCAAACATAAGCGCACATGTTCACATTACATTCATCAAAGAACAAAAGTATGACCATACATCACTTGCTCACAGAAAATAGACTAACAGAACAAAAGCAAGTCACAATTGCCACTTCCATGAACCATCAAAATTGCAAGGCTTGTTCTATGGCCATAAACAAAACAAAGCAAACAATCAATCAATTCAAATTATGAATTGTTATTCCTTTAAAACAAAATTCCATCGCATGATGATACAGTTCCTCAAAGCAAAAAACCACCTCACATAGTTCCAATGCAATCTATGATACTCAGCATTGCATCTAAATCTATATAACTTATGAGCCAACAACAATGATAATGGGAAAATGTTAAACAGAAGCGACAACTAAACTCGATAAAAATAACAGGAATATTACGAGCAAAACTTACTACTCTCACAAAATAAAACAAGTCTAACGTTTGGACTCCTTGTTCATCAGATAGTTTTTCAGAACATCCATGACCGACCCAAAATCCGCCTTCACTTGCACTGGTGGATTTGCAAACCGGCAGGCCATGTCTTTAATCTCCCCGGAATGGTAATCGACCTTGGATTGTGTGAACTTTAATCCATGAGCAGTACTTACCACAACAGTCCTATCCGTTGGACCAATAACCCCACTTTGCCTCAACTTAAACAATGCAGTCAATGCCACACCAGTGTGAGGGCATATAAACATCCCAGTTGAGTCTGCCTGAGCCATGGCATCCATCAACTCCTCCTCAGTTGCCTCCTCAACAATCCCATTTGAATTCTTCAATGCAAAAACTGCTCTATCAATTGAAACAGGATCGCCAATCTGAATTGCAGACGCGAACGTAGTACCTGCCTTAACTGGCTTAAAGTCCTTCCACCCTGATTTGTAATGCAAGTAAAGTGGATTAGCATTAGATGCTTGAGCACAAACAAGCCTCGGAATTCTATCAACAAGTCCCAACTCTTTACACATATGGAAACCTTTGTAAAATGCATATATATTCCCCAAATTTCCGCCAGGAACAATCACCCAATCGGGCACTTCCCAATCAAACTGCTGCAAAATCTCAATTGCAGCGGTTTTCTGCCCTTCTAGCCTCAAACTGTTCAACGAATTGGCCAAATAAATGGGTAACTCAGAGGTGACTTCACGAATCAACTGCATACAACCATCAAAATCAGTATCTATACTCAATACAAAAGCCCCGTTGGCTATCGGCTGAACCAACTGTGCAATGGATATCCGGTTCGCCGGCAAAAACACAATGGACGGAATCCCAGCAGCAGCGCAATAAGCCGACAAAGCCGCTGATGTATCACCCGTGGATGCACACCCAACTCCCACCACGGGCCGGTTCAATTTGCGCAAACGATTCACTTGGCTCACCAAAACTGTCATGCCCAAGTCCTTAAAACTACCCGTATGACTAATCCCACAATGTTTCACCCACAAATCACTCATGCCCAGAAACTGTTTGCCAAAACGCTCAGCCCAAAACAGGTTCGAGTTCCCCTCAAATGCACTAACAATATCATCACTATCAATTTCCGGTAAAACCCACTCCTTCTTAGACCAGACTCCCGACCCATACGGCCATGTGGTCTTGCCTACACGGGAATCGAAAAGGGATCGCCAGTACTGACCATCAAATTTCTTGAGAGCGTCCATGTCGTGCTGGACGTCGAGGAGGCCACCAGAGCGGCTTCGATACACAATCTCATCGAGAGAATATGACTCAGTCGATGTGGGGTCGGCGTTAAAGGGCACGTACTTGGCGGAGAAGTTGTGAGCGGCGTTGTGGCGACGGGCCTCGTCCCGGATATTCTCGTCAGCTGAGCGTCGGTGCTTGAGATGGTTAGATGATTGTGGTGCGGGTGAAGGAGGTGTCGTAGCGGGGTCGGAAGAGGTGGTGGCTTTTATTGGATTAAAGTGTGCGGTGGCAGGGGGTTTAGCGTTGGCGGATGAGTGGTGTTGAAGGAGTTGGGGCGAGAGGAAGGAGGATCTGAAAATGGGAGAAGCCGCCATTGTAGAGAGGAAAATGGAGAACGTAGGGTGTCGAGGAAAAGTGTGGGGGGCTGGGGTGTTTTGAGGGGAGGGCTTGTTTGGTTTTACTTAAAATTAAATGGATTGTCCTTTACTCAGATTTTACAAGGATTTTAAAAGTTCACATGAATTTAGGTGTCACAATGTTAGGTCATAAAAAAATGTTTCTTTGACAAAAATAAAAGAAATTCTCACCAACTTAGCCTAGTTCAATGAGAACACCTAGATTCTTCGAAATTCGTGCAAAAATGAAGAACGGATATTTAAAAACACTTTTATATTGACAAAGAAATTCAAAAAAATAAAAATTATTAAGAATTCGAAAAATGTTTACACAATTCACTTTCTCATTCCTATAGATTTGTAATTCGGTGTAACGGAAATATCCATTGAGTTATTAGATAAATAAAAGAAAGCACCAAGAGTTTAAGACTCAATTATTCAGTTACTAAACGTAGGGGACGAAGTCAGGGGAACAATAAAATAATTTTATACTACTTTGATACAGAGAAAAAATTGAAAAAATTACACTCACACCAAATCGTGTCATTTCGTATTCCAAATCAAAATCTCCACCAAATCGTCTCTCCCTTGAATCACCCACCAGGAAATTCTCAAAACATAATCACCAATTCATTCTTCTATAGATCTAATGCAAAGAACATATCACATATATCCACCATTCGATTCTCGTTTTCCATTGATTAGGACTTTATCGCTTGTCTGTGCAATTTATATATATTTTATATATGAAATTTTGTGAGTATGTAAATCCTGCTTCTTTTAAATATATATATGAAAATTGTAATGAAGATACCATGAATTTGTATATGGAAATTTTCATTCTTGCTTAATTATGCCTTGATATTCTCTGGAAATTCAATCTATTTCATAATGGTATATGTGTCTGTGTATGCAATCCGAAATACGTTTGAAAAAAATATGTTTGCCATTTGATCCTCTTACACAATGATGTTGAGGTTGCCTATGAGGTTAGTGTCATCTAACTGATTCAGCTTCATTTCTACAAAAATGTTGAATTAACCAAACTGATGTCTCTTATCTTTGTATAGAAATGGATGCAATAAACGTATTTGTAATGAATGGCACAAATAATTTTGATCGACTTGTTCCATTTGGTTGCAATTACATAGGTTTTGTCGATATGATAGTGAATGAGTTGAAGGTTGATAGGAGGTGTTTGTGTATCAAAATTGAGTATAATGCAGATGTGAAAATATCACAAACCCGGATAACGAATGACAACTCTATGAAATTTTACTTGGAGCTTAAGCGTAGGGATCCATGTATTAAGGCGTATGAATTACGTATCAATATGATTGAGGTCTTACAATCCACAAATTGCACACACAAGTAACGAGTTCTCCACTATAGAAGTAAGGATGGGCACAAATTTTAAAAAATACAACATGGAGTTACATCTAATTGAAACATGGCATATGATGCCGAACATTACCTTGAATCTTCAGATGTTGAATTTTGAAAAAAAATGTTCCAATTGAGCCGAGTCTTGGACTGTAGTAGAATGGAATCGCATGGTGATTATTCAACAAACGACAATGATTGTATTCGGCGATCATCAGTCTTTTTAATTGCTTATTCAATTAGGAAATGACATTAATGAAGAACGTGAAATAGACCGAATTCAAAAAGGGTTAGTTACAGAATGTGGTAGATGGTCTATTTTTAGAATGAAGTATATGTAAACATATTTCATATGTCGTCTAGCATTTTTGGTTTTAATAATATAATATAGTAAATTATGAAATCGTTTTAGTAACAACGCAGATACGAAATTTTCCGAACGAATAAAGATTAAAAAGCAAGCATAACTTGTAGCCATCAAATTCTGTTTCAGAACACAACCAACATTCTTCTCCTAATTTATAGACTTTTACATGAAGTCTCCGTTTGGCCATATTTCTTAAAATACATTTTTTTTTTTTTTTCAAATTTCATTTTCAAACACCCTTTTATGCAATCTACAATTTTTCAATCATATATTTCACTAACTTTTATTAAAGTCTGCTAAAAATCTATTTTTTATCCAAATCGAGGCGAAATAAACCCTACGACAATAAATATAGAAATAACCCAACTTTAATTAGCAGTAAAATAAGGTATTTTAACAAAACCTGGAAAATAAGACATTAATGAAAAACTAGCTACCAAAGATTAGTATAGAGTCCTGCTACCATCTGGTGCATCAGAATGTCCTCTAATCATCTAGTTTGCCCCTTCATTATCTTTCCCAACGAGAAAAGATTAGTCCTAGAATCATAGACTCAACACAACCAACTGTGAACTTACTACACTCAATCTAGGACTGGCTGTATATCTCTGAAACCTCTCGTGACAGGATTGTAGAAAACAATACTATAATCTAATTTTGTTATATATAAATTCACTTCTTCATATTTTTTGGCTAATCACATTCCCTACGAGTTTTTCGTTATGAAAGGACTTCAACACACCATTTCCAACAAGCCGTACATGTGTCTGATTTCCTCAAACATATATAGTGCATGCAACTACCGGTCGAGGTTAATTCTCTACAACAGGACACTAGTTCCAGAAAGATGAAACTGATTGGGAGATTGCCCAATCTCAAAATGAAAGGAGTTAGCTTTGAGGAAAAAACATTAGAACACCATGAAGGCGAGTTTGATCAACAACTTGAATTCTTGGAACTGTCATCGCTAAATGGCTAAGGCGATCCGAATGGAACGTCTCAAGTGATCCTTTCCCCAGACTACTATGATTAGTAGTGTTGAGAGGTTGTTGGTATTTGAAGAGGATCCTTCATTTCTGTCATATTCTGAATGATTTGAGAGGTTATTGGTATTTGAAGAGGATCATTCATTTCTGTCATATTCTAAATGATTCGACAAGTACAAAATGACATGGGAAATGAAGAGCTTGAAGTCATCGTTATACATACTACAACTCTCAAAGAGTCCCCTTCTCATTTATTTCATTGCATTTTGAACATTTTTTTTTCTTGCAATAAGAAGCGCATTATCCTAGTGTTGGAAATAAATCCCACATCGCCTGTGGACAATGTCTTGGGCTAGTTTATAAACAATGTGACAAACCTCTCTTACTGAACTGGTTTTGTAAGATGAGTTGGGCCCATAAATTTCTACATGGTATCAGAACCTACCACAGGATTGATGTGGGCCCACACTACTTACCCCGTGACAAGGACCAGAAAAATTACTGGCCTGCACGTGAGGGAGGGTGTTGAAAATAAATCCCACATCGCATGTGGACAATGTCTTGGGCTAGTTTATAAACAATGTGGCAAACCTCTCTTACTGAACCGGTTTTGTGAGATGAGTTAGGCCCATAAATTTCTACAATCCTAGCCTTGTTCTCATTTGATGGATTGATCGATTACTCATTCATTTTTTTCCGGTTTAACTGGGAGCTCGTTTGGCTTTGTAAAATTGAAATGAAACATCAAAAAACTTATTACTCTGTTAGAGGCCGGCTCTATTTTATTTATCTTGTGTAGTTTTTGCCAACCCAATTGTTGACATACAAAAATGAAGACCAATTAAAATGGTCCAAGAAATGGGGTCCAGTTAGGGAATTTGAGGGATAGACCAAATGAAATCATTGTGAAATGTAGTGGAGGCTCATAAACGGAGGACTATCATCTCCCAAGCCTGCAGGACGCCCAGAATAAGAGCGAATGAAGTACCTTATTGTCGCTCAGAATGACAATCACATTCTCGCCCAATCCTTCGAAACGCCCAAGATCTGAGCGAACATAGAGTCCTATTGTTATTTAAAGCGGAGGTTATTGAAGCAGTTATTGAGCAAGCTTATCATATTCCATGATCCATCATCCAAGAATCTCGGTTGCAAACAGTTAAAAAAGGGGAGCAATAGCAGCAGTTTAAAAACGGCGGTTTCTCGACACGTCAGCCATTATGAAGCAAGTGTGTAGTTATAGAGCGACAAGCAGTTTTCAAATGATTTTTCAAGGAAAAATGGCAAATGAGTATAAAAGGAAAAAGAAGACATAGAAGAAAAGACCCCGAATCAATTACTCTCAAACAAAGAATATGTAATTTCATTTCTTTTAATTCTTATCGTCAACATTCAAATTACTTTGTTTGCTTGTGCCCCTTGGAAACGTTTTGCTTCTTCCTAATTGTAATCTTCGTAAATAAAGCACCCCTCGTTGGGACTTTGTTTCGAGAGGTTTGTTCCTTACACAATCGTCTGAATCATCTTTTAATTGTTAACGAGGCTTGATAATCCGCGTGAAACAATTTGGCACGCCCGGTGGGACAATGGTGTTTGATGATACGAAAATTGAAGCAATATGCCTCATAAGAATTCTGATAAAGAATCAGCAAGCCAATGAATAGTTCAATCTGTAATCGAACGATATGAGGAGCAGCAAAGTACTCCAAGAACATAGGGACAGTCATAATTTTCCTTTTTAAAAGTCACTTGATCCTTCAGATTACACAATTGATTTCCATAAGATTGATTGGCGAGTCCTCTCCATAAAACTATTTGGAATTGTTGGAAGGAGAGGAACTCGAATCGCTCTACAAAACTTCAGGAAATGAGAAAGAAAGAAAGAAATTTGAAGACATTTGATCTGCTTTCCTTTCCTGTCCGTAAATGGTCAGCTCCACTAGTTTGTTAATCAATTGAAGCTAAATGTTGATGCGGCTCTAAAGATGGCGAGCACGGGTATGGTTTTGGTCACTATTCAACCATTGTAGCTTAAATGTTTTGCTATTTCGCCAGATCTATCCATCTCCGTGCTAGAATCAAATTGATACGGTAAAAGATCTTCCTGAGGGTGCGTGCACTTTTTCATTCTATTACAAATGAATAAGGCTATCTAGCACTATTGGTGTTAAAACACCAATTTAGATATCTCTAAGTGATGCACTCAATGAAAAAATAGAATTAAGTGATTCATTAACACCATTAGTATTAAATAGCATTACTCTTTCAAATTTGTTTACTTCTTGCGAGTATATTAATTGCAATTTTGTTCAGCGTGAAGTTAACAAGGCTGCTCATACCTTGGCATGAAACTCTTCTACACTTTGAAATTTCATCTTAAAAGTTCAACCTTACTAAAAATAATAACAAAATCCCTTATATGTTAGTTTATTTTGACGTCTATTTTGAAAATCACTTAATTCTATTTTGAAAATCTCTCTCAATGAAAATTATGTAATGACGGCTAACCACATACTCATGATCAGTATTGCAACAGAACACCAGTGCTTGTGTTTGTGATGGGTGGGTGCCTCAAAAGATATTTAACGTACAAACCAAAATAAAAATTTATCATAACATAATTTCACAAATCATGTCTAAAACTGGTTTAAACTAAGGATACCAAAAACAAGAGAGCAATAAAAAAGAGTACTCTGTTAGAACATTAAGCGGCACATGGATTGTCCACTGGCTTATAAGAGTGTGTTGCCATTGCCTGAAGGAACAAATTGTATCTGGGCAGAGAAGGGCACCCAGAGCCATTTGATATTTATCAGCTGCTCGCTCTTCCCAAAATTGTTTCCAAGCAGTTCCCAGTCACAAATTTATTGTCTATCAATGATGGCAGGACTGCTGAAAATAGAGTGCCAAACAGTCTAAAAGTTCCTTCCTTTGTACGGCATTTCCTGAAAAATAAATGAATTAATAAACAATGTAGTAGATATAAGTTGATTTCTATCCATCAGCACACTGAAGTAACGTAAAATTGTTTGTGATAACATACATGGATCTCGTTTATATCTATCAATAAATTTGTTTTTCTAGCTCATAAGCCCAAAAAACAAGCACTGCATGTTAAGTACTTGTTTTTAGAGATCATAAGCTCTTTCATTGCAGAGGACTGGAATACATTGCTCATAAATGTATACTAACAAAAACCCTTTTAGTCTAGTAATTCAGTAAAGTAACATACAATCTCTAAATTGAAGAGAAATGCAAAGCTTAATCGGCTAGAAATGTAGTCATCATGTGCTAAAGAGGCATTTGTCATGGGTGTATTTTATTTCTGCACAGTTTTCTCCTAAATGATAAAACATTATGCAAATCCTCACAAATAATAGAACTGTGAATTTTTGCCATAACACTAATACTAGCAGCAGAAAGAACCATAGGTAAAATAGGATGGTCACACATTTTTGTGTCCCTATTAATACGAACATAACAGCACCACTCTGAAACATGCAACAGTATAATAAGAAAAGAGACGCATTTTAACTTACTGGGGGATATGTTGGCATGTACAAGACTTGCCGAGGCTGCCCAATTATCATCTGCTGCCCGTACTGTGTTAAATATAGTATAACATAAATATAATTAGACACCAAAAGGGTACAACAATTTATGCAGGGCCATTAATTCCATAAAATTTCGACAAACCTGAGGTCCGTTTGGAGGAAAATATTGTTGTGGCATTTGAGTAGCCGGTGGATTGAACATAATGGGCTGCTGGGCAGTAAATGAGGGTCCAATCTGAAAAGATTGTGATTAGCTGCCACTTATTAGAAAAAAAATCCATTGACAAGATATGATGATGAACAAGGAGAAGATTAAATTCAGAAATATAACAAAATCCCAGTTTCAAAAAATAACAGGATTAGAGGCTGCTTATCTAACTAGATTGCAGAATTAGCCTGATAGATTTCTATTCAAACTAATATTGCAAACTACTTAGATAAAGTTAAGCCCCCCGTTTGGCCCCTATTAAATTATAATTCGTTTTTGTCTCTCTTATCAAACGCACATTCTCCAATAAAATATTATTATACGTAAACCCAAAAACTTTTCCTTCTTTTTTAACAACACATTCTCCAAAAAATTACTATTCCCCTCATTATAATATGAAATAAAAGGGGTCACATGGGCGCTAAAAGAAAAATCTACTTATAAGAACACCAATTATGCCAGCATCAACCATGGTTCAACTATCAAATGACTCATCAAGAAAGTATGTGCAACTTCGTAATGGAGTATGATACCATACAAACACTAATCTTCATAAAATACAGTAAAAACTTAAACCCCAATACCACCAGCTCTCTTGTAAAGCACAGTTTGTTGGAAGCGGGAAAGGAACTAATTAATCAGATGCCGACCATGCATCAATATCATCATTCATACAGTATCAATTAGATTACGGTAAGAAAATCACACCAGTTTTTCCCTTGATAAAAGCACAAGTATGACATTTGCTATGCAAATAAAAGTAAAAGATGAAATGGTGCAAGTAAAGTCTCTGGAACACGAACACTAGTCAACTCATTTTCAAATGAACAGAAGTGGCATCTATAACGGCTACATGCATAGATATATCACAATGCATATTTATTAATTAAGGTGAGTTCACCTATCAAAAAAATTAATTAAGGTGAGTTCACTTTACAGAGAAATTGTGTCATGTTTGTCAGATTGTAGACAATGGCCATCTATATATGCACAATGTAGGGATAATAAAATCTGGTAGACATTAAAAGCTTTATACTCACCCCAATACCAACAGGCATGCCATGCATCTGAGATACAGAAGCTATGTTAGCTGGATAGTAGAAGGAACCATCAGAAGCAACAGGAGAAGCAGGTCTTAAAGGCGTCTGAGATGGTATGAAGCTCTTTGCATTGGGGTTTAATTTAAATTCCTGCAGAATAATCAATCATGGAAAAATGTATCAGCCACATGGCAGAAATATACCCAAGAAGAATTTTAATTGTGTAAAGCCAAGCATGTCCAAAAGCCCCCTTGTTTGTAGCTTGTGAGGGAAGGAGATCAGTTTAATAGCAACAGCCATTATTGGAAAAAGAAAATATTGCAACCACCTTAGCAAATGGATTCAGTGTCGACTTCTCTGAGGACAATGAGCCCACGGATGAACTTGGTGATAATCCACGACCAGCAGTTGACATGGCACCTCCACGATCAGAAGTCGAAGATGCAGAACTACTGGGACGGGCATGAGAAGTTACTGTCCCTTGAGTTTTGGAAGGTACTGCCCCCTGTGACAACTCATGGGATGAACTTGCCTTTTCCTGACCCTTGGATGGAGCATGTGACGGATCATAGGCAGTAGCATTTGGAGACAATCCACCCTTATCAGAACTTTCTTTCTCATTTCTCAATGACAAATGCATATCTGCAAGAATTATCAATGATAAATGAATCTAGTGCTGCCTGAAAGAAAATTAATAATATGGTACCAGGGGGAACAAGTTAACAGATAGAAAAAAGAGGACGACTGCGGACTTTGTCCTCTATTTCAAAATCATCTTACTAGATGCTAACAGATCTGGAACAACCGAACAAGTGTATACAGCACCGTAAGGATCACTTACCATCAGCTTTTGACACTTCAGTTTGATCAGGTAGCTGTATGGAATAAAAGATTATAAGAATTTGCCAGCTACCGATAAAATATCCGGTAAATGAAAACGAGAAATTTTCAACAGATAATCACCGTAGGCTTTTGTATATTCTCCTTACTGCAAGTACTATCAACCCGTTCAGTTGACTGGTCATCTTGAAGCCTAAAATCATTTAAAGACTTATTAGAACTTCGTCAAGAATAGAGCTTCCTGATTAATATTTAAATTAGTATCACTATTCTGCCATTTTTAGTGTTACGTTTAACATAAAAGAATCTGACCACAGACATGGAATATCAGGTGATAGATTAGGAACCTGCTAGCATCGATAGCGGAGGAAATTTTAGGAAGTGGGTCAGTTGAAAGCAATCGAGCATTATCCTCAAAACCAGAATGACACAACTCTTCGCTGGTATTAGTCTGAGAAGGCTGTACTTCGTCCTGGAGATGAGGAAACAAAAATTAACAGAATTTGATCTTGAATAGAGTTGCAAACAAAGGATGCAAAAGACACCGGCAACTGATTGTCAGCCAGACACATAGGTTGATGGATCGCATAATCAGATATCTTACTTGCAATAAGCTGTAAAAGAGCCCTGCAACTAATAGTTCAGCAAGCCAGACATGTAGCTTGATGGATCACATAATCAGATAACTTACATACAATTGTCCTTTTAAGGCGACAAACCCTTTTGATTAATTTTAGTCATTTAACTTACATCTATAGCACTCACATCATGCTCTAATCATTTAATTAATCTAATAAGCAAGATGTTGAAAGAGGGAGCTAAGAAGAAAGGAGGTTATAGTACCCCTGTAGGTGGAAACAGAAAAGTTAAGATTAAAATTTTCCTTTTAGAGGAGAAAAATCTAATGAACAAGAAAAGGCTTAAATATTTCGTTCAATTACTATTAAATATAATCCATTGTTACATCACATACAAGCTAAGGGAATACTACCACGAGAAAGAAATGTTTACAATATAAAATTTGAAAACAAGTTTTATGAAGATAATTACATAGAGGTCCTACTGTAATCCTTGAGCCTTAGCCCTTGTTTGACATCCAGTTTTTTCACATTCTCTTTCTCATTTTTTTTTCTCTTTCTTCATTTCAACCACACATTCTATCAATAAAATAATATTATAGATAAACCCAAAAATTCTCCTTACTTCTTAACCAATCACTATTCCATCAATCACTATTCCAAATCAAATTCTTCTCCAAAATGGATGTCAAACGAGGGCTTAATTTCAAGTAATCCAAATTTTGGTATTTCGTCAAAATGATGATGGCACTCAATTATTACCCTCCAAAAATTACGGAACAGTATAAATTGTGGTATGACAGAAATAAAAGATTTCAAAACCAAAAACCAAGCACGTTCTTATTGTAGCAAGCAAGACAGAAAATCTGTTGCCAACTGTCTGAGGAGACGCTTTATTCCCTTTTGACAAAGTGGATGGGCAGGCAGGAGGGGAATGGGGGTGTCAAAGTTGGCAGATCATGTACTCTGAAAAACAAACAAGGTCACAGTACTGTTCAGCATAAAATATTCATACTCTCTAGACCTAAACACATTCTCGAATTAGATGCAGGCTCTTGATTCCCATTTTGCCAGATCCATCGTGTCTCTCACAGGTTGTCCCTCTCTTTCATTCTTTAAAGTTTTTCCATTTTGTCTTTAGGCACACGGACCCAGATGCAGGAAAGTAGGGTTGGACACAACAGATATGACAAAATCATGGTCATGGATACTGGAAGTAGGAAAATAATAGTGCAAGTAAACACAGAACAGCCAAAGACCTAGAAACATAGAATGATTTTAAAAAGGTGGGGCCAAAACCACATGAAGAGAGGCAATACATATAAAAAATATAATTAAATTTTTTAATTACCATCAAAGAAGAACTAGAAGACATTTGAGATTCACAATTGATTTTCCCAGTGCCCAAGTCTGTGAAAGGTTTGCCGGTGACAGAACCAGAGATATCTCCAAATGTTTCATCATTTCGAGAATCCAACAATATGTCCTCAATCTCATCATACCCACTGTCATCAACCGCCCGATAGACTGATGAGAATCTGGTTTCCTCGTCAATTTCCAGATTTCCAGTGAGCTGAATACCTCTTTCCTATTAAAAAAATGTGTTTGATATAAATGAAGAAAAAACAGATCAAGTGACACAGGAATAACAAATCATTATAAAAATCTACCAGAGTTTCTATCTAACCTCTGCTAGATGGAGATCGTGGGTTTCCTCGCTCTCAATCTCTCTAGCTATTCTTTTGGCTTCTCTTTCCATCTCTCTCCTCTGAGGGCCTTTGTCAAGCTTTGTCGTGTAAAGTTCCTCATCGAAGGTGCTTTTCACTCCAAATAAGGTTTCATTTGCTTCAAATTGATTCCAGCCTCTGTTGGACAGAACACAAACATTGCATCTGTGAAAACAGCACAAGAGGATACTCTGATGGAACTATGTCTTGGATGATTTATAGTACATAGGTTCTTAGTAAAATATATTATGAGGAGAATCAGAACAAACAGCAACATCAACAATTAACCGGAATGTTTATAAACTTCTTAGATTTTGAAAGGTTAGCTACATTTAGTGTCTGATCGATTATCTTGATCTGGAATTGTGGTAAAAGGCACTTGTGTTGGACATGGTCAAATGGATAAATTGTCCTTCAAAAAGTTATGCAAAAAAGGAGTTTCAGGAGTTATCCTAACTAGTTAAAAATTTTAAAGAGATGCATTAAACCAAAGTCAAAGAAGAGAGTAATTCAACCACCTATTCCAAGGGCCATCAAATATATTCTCCAATTCAGGACATCCAGGATCATCTGCATCAGGGACCCAGGGTTCCAATTCTCTGCCCAAGTCAATATACCGGGACTTCGATATGCAGGAATCGGTCATAAGCTCCTGCTGCTCGTCATGCTGTAGCTCAGTTGTTAACCCATCCCTAGTTACAGGCACACCCTGTTCCAGTTAACAACAAAATCAGTTTACCATATAAGCTTCAGTGACAGACACAGTCACCCTGAACATTGAACAGACACTATCGCACATTGTGCATAATTGACAAAAAAAGACCTTGCATGAGGATGAAGACACTAACACCCATCTTGTTTGACGTTGACAACATGGAAGTATTCCAATAAACAGTATCATTTTGTTATGTTAAGATTTAGTGACCAGAATATTGAATTAGGTAATACATATATAGTGGTAAACAAAATGAACCTTCGCTATCACTTGCACCAGCTCCTTAGCCGATATGATCAAAGTCCTTGGAGTCTTATTAACAGAATCAAAAATATTCTTCTGCCCTTGAGAACCATCTTTTATTAATTGCGCCATTTTCAGAATAATTCCTGCACCATGAGCAAGAAAGAAGGCAAGTGTCAACGACATATTCTTTCTATTTATTTAAGAGGGGTTTTAAGCCAGATTTTATCACCCATAAGGTACTCTTGTTTTATTAAAGTTGAGCAACTATATTTGGACTCACCAAAATCCTTGTCAGCATTTGTTGCATGAAATATTCCAGAAAACACAGATCCGTCCGACACCTGGACGTCGACTTGATGTCCAATTAGGCATGTAGTTAGATATATCAGTCGATCACATGAAGATGATTCAAGTCCTCCTCCTTTACCTGTAATTAATAAGTTTACAAAAACAGACAATAGTACTTTATAATAAACAGTACTGATTGACGATCTCTTACCTGCATTGGTCAACCTGCTAGAATTTGTTTTCCCAGCCTGGAACTTACTATCAAACTTTGTCACAATATCTCTTTCATTTTTACGACGGCCATATCCATTGGAAGATCTGGGTGGTACAACCGGCTGCATATTCATCTTCAAAATTTGATCTCTAGTATATATGTAAAAATCAACCCCAGTTTCACCCGTTCAGCAATAACTGCAAACGTGATTAATTGTATAAAATAAATTCTGACAATCAAACTTATATTACTAGGCACTAGAGAAACCAAATGTGCGTCATTAGCAGGAGAATTCCAGCAAGACAAAAGTTTCTATGGTTATACAGAATCTAACAACATAATTCATTAGTCAGGTCCATAAAACAGAAGTCTAGATATCAAATCCACCCCACCCCGACCAAGGGCTAAAAACAAAAAAAAGATACATATATAATGAAGATGGTCCATAAACAGAATTCGCCATGGAACAACTAAAATTACAACAAACATCCAAGAAAATACAAGCAATCTATCTTGGTGAACAGAAATAAAATAAAAACAAAATTATTATTGTTATTTGATGAAGGTCACTCTTCTCAGCCGCTTACTGCAAGCACTCTCATTGCATGATAACAGTTAAATTTTTCATGAAAATCATTCCCAATAGAAATTATCTATCGAAACAACTAGCATTCTAATTTTATAGATTTATATACCTCTTGATAGATCAACTAGGCATTATATATCATCTGGATGACATTTCATGAGCATGGAAGCAAAGCTAAACTTCCAAAGGTGCTCAAACGTGGAATTCATAAAACAAACTAAAACACATGGCATAAACACAGACCAATCTTGGCACCAATTTTTCCATGAAGAGGGGGGATATGTAAATCCAATCAAAGTTTAAGACAAGGAAACGTGTTTATAAAGCTCAACACAACAGGTATGAAGGCGATTTACCTCTGTGAGGCAAGGCATAAGCCTCAAGACAAACCATTAAATTTTTTAAAATAAACCAAAAATACAAAAATGTGCTCATCATAACCCATAAACCCAAAGTTAGTAATCTACTAATGCTAGAAATGCCTAAAGATCCTTCGTATCATCAACTACTAAGATCTTCAAGAAAATCATGACATATTTGGTTCCCATATCATCCTCCTCATCATGGTTACTTCTAATTATTTTTCATCACCAAGCTCCACTTGGAATCGGAGTTCTAAAAGTCGCCGCCTAGGTGAGCTGCGTGGCAAAACCGCAGCGGTCAACGTCATGCATGCCTAGACGCGCATTATTTTTTTTTTTTTTAAGACAAAACATAATGGTTGATTTACAATTGAAACTTATTGTTGGAAAATTTTTAAAAAGATGTTTAAAATTTCTATAAATCTTTTTTAGATGTTTTATAGGTATTATTTTTAATTATTAAATGATTTTTTTATTGATTAAAAATCAAAATAATATTAAAATAAGAAAACGTCTTTTTACGCTTTTTTACGCATATGTCTCACGTAACCTCGTCTAGCCCATAACTTGGTCTCCACGCATCGTCACGCATTACGCATTTTAAAGCATTGCTTGGAATAGTCCCTTCAGAAAAAAAAAATACAACACCATAAAACAAGAAAAATATAAAAGATGTATGGCAAAAGTCTCTTGTCACTGACCATCTTCCATTGAAAAGTTGCAACTTCACTTGGAAACTTTAATTGTAGAAAAGTGGGTAATGTTTACTACACTCTCTCTTGTCTCTTTCCAAATTCTTTTTTCTAGTTTGTAGGGTTGGATAGTGTTTATAAAAGCCCCAAAAACCTTAAACATTCTAGGTTATCAAAAAATTCCAAAACACTGAATCCAATAATAAAAAGCCCAGACAGGGCAAAACAATTGAGAGTATACCTCAGCAGCCCACAGGATAATGCCTTGAAGCATGTGCCTTGGTAAATCAAGTTGCAACTTTAACAAATGGGACTCGAGAATAACCTTCAAGACACTTGATGAAAGCCTTAGATGAGGCACTTCAAGACATAATCCTTGGCAGTTTTTAGAACGATGACTAGGAATAGTACAGTATTTAGGGAGGACAAAAACATTCACATGCGAGCATAAACTTCAAGTGGAAACGAGGACAAAAAAAGGAACCAGATACTTCGTATCTCAAAACAAGATAGTGTATAGAGTGTAAAATGCAACATACGAATACTTCTAATGATGGAAAAAATAGTAAAAGAACAAGCGTCTGATGCATCCCCATTTAAAAACAATGGCCCAAACTTCCTAGAAATTCCAATAGTTTTCTCCTAAAGTTTTAGGCCCAAGCAATTTCCAGCTAACAATCCCTGTCCAAGCTGACACAAGTTAGCACAATTTTCGAACATGAGATTACCCTCACATGTCATAGAATTATAGAGCTATTGACTAGTTATCTACATGTCAATCAGGAAAATAACACCAGCATCCATGAAGATCACAGCTTATGGTGGATACATCCCAAATGAAAAAATTGCCAAAAATGAGTAAATAAGTCATGTAATGTGAATGAAAGTAGCAGCAGGTTATGCCAACCATTTTAGAAAACACAATCATCAGATGACAGCAAACACCCTAGTTATACTGATCAATCATATGTGTAAGCTTGAAACCTGTCCTCGACTTGGAAAGCGCTCAAGTCTTACAAACCACGCTCTTAGCAATAATTCCCTGCTATAACTGGGAAAAATTATGAATACTTGAATAGGCCTATACGTGCTTTCCAGAACTAAAGACACCTTCTCCAGGCAACTCACTTACCCTCAATACAACACCAACAAGAAGGGGGAGGGAATCTTCTACCTAACACGTATTTATGTATTATCTCGTTTCTGAACGATACCAAAACTTCTATAAATAAATATTCCTGCAAGTGAATATCATTTCGATACAACATAAATTAGAATTAAAACTATTCATTCAACAGAATTTGCAATTTCACCACCATGGAATCACCCAGGTTTCAATTGGACCCAATCAAAAAAAAAAGGCACTAAAAACGTCAGTTTCCCAGGCAATAATCAAGAAAAACATGGGCAAAATGCTCAACTATTCTCGAAACATTCACACACATAAAAAATCTAGAAAATATATTGTTTCATAATTCTTAATAAAAAACCCTAGAAAAATCTCAGTCCAAATCCCTACGATCTAACGATAAATCAAATATATAAACCTACAAATTATAGATACGCACACAAGCATATATAGAGACGAGAGAGAGATTCTTACGATAGATGGAAGAGAGAGAGTCCGATCTGGGTCTGATCAGAATTAACAAGTTGTGTGTGTGTGTGTGTGTGTGTGTGTGTGAGTGTTTGTGTGCGTTTTTGTGGGGGATTGCCGCCACGCCAGAGTCTGACCCGAACCGGAGGATATCAATCTTTTCTTTTTCCAAATTTATTTTCCTTCTCACATTTTTTCAATAAAACAATTTTACACATAAATTCAAATTTTTTTCTTATTTTTAATCCACAGTTTTCAAAATATCACTATTACAAAACTCATTTATTCAGGTTCTATAATGTTTGGACTCTTCCAACATCCGATGCACCCACTTGTATTTAGGGTGTGTTTGTCTCCCATTATTGGAAGAAAAATAAATTAATGAATAGTATTTTTTGAAGAATGTGTTTTTGAAATTTAAAGTAATTTTATTGGTTTGTGTGTAAAATATTCTATTTGGTGAATATCTGATGAAGAATCTTACTGTAGCAAACAATTTTTTGGAATAATGATAGACAAACATGGTCTCATTTACTAGTGTAATGGGTTTAAATACGGAAAAATTGAGTTGGATTTTCAAATTTTCGCACGATGTAGTTAGGAGTCTTCAATTTTCAAAAGCGGGGGTTCTAGGTATTAATTTATTTAAATTTGTAAATTTGATTTTTATGTTGTGGAAATTATCAATGTGGACTTTAAAATCACACAAACGTTCAATTGAAGTGAAAGTCAATAACCAGCACTTTCTCAACACTATTGAACATGTGTACTTTAATAATTTCGTCTACCAGCTTAAACTTTAAAGTAATGTGAACGCATGTGAATTAACGGGGTATTCTCAACTAAAATTCCGATAGGTTTCAAAAGGTTATAATTTTTACTAAATTTTATGACTTAGAATAGATTTCACAAATTTCATAAGAATCTCATTTAAAAAATTGTGAATTTTTTTTTTAAAAATGTTATATATATTTTTAAGCTTGAAATCTTTAAAATTTATCTATTAATGAAATCTTTATAAATTCACTAATTATTGAAAATACCTAATTTTGAAAAGATTTCATTGAAATTCATTAAAATCTTAATTGGGAAAATCTATTTTTAATGAATTTCATTAAAATCTCAATTGTGGGCGTTTAAATTTAGAAGAATTTTTAAAATCCATCAATCTCCACGTTGACAATTTCAATCATATGTGATCCAGATTTTAAGATAAAATATATTGGGACATAGAACCTCAATTTTGAACTCGTCGTGTGAAAAGTTGCATAGTCCCACCCAATTTTTCATTTTCTTCAAAAGCGAGATCCTAGGTACTAACCTATTTAAAATTGTATTTGAATTCCATGTAACCTAAATCATATATATACATGTTAAACACGTACGAGAGTCTCAATTATTAAGTGCTTTGATTAATTTTGCCCATTAGTTTAAAGTTATGTAATGCGTGTGATTTTAACGTTCACATTGACGATTTTGGTCACGCGGGGACCCAAATTTACATATTTAAATAAATTGGGACCTAGAAACTCAATTTTGATAACGGGGGTTCGAAAAGTTAAAGAGACCATCTTAACATTCCTTACCTAGGTTCTAAATAGTAAATACTAAATTTTAATTTCATATTATTGAAATTATCAATATGGACGTTAAACCAAACAAGACTTTCAATTGAATTAAAAATTAATGTTAAGTGCTTTACTTGCCCATCAACGTAAAGTCACATGAATGCGTACGATTTTAACGTTTAAATTGACAAATTTTGTCACACGTGGATCCACATTTACAAATTTGAATAAAATGGAGTCTAAAACTCACTCTTGACAATTGAGAACTTATAACCCAATGCGTAAATGGTTGAAAAGTCCAATCGAATATTCTTTTTAAATACTAGCTAATTGGCACCATACTTTTATTATTTGGTGTATGTAATTGACTTCATATTATTGATAAAACGTCAAAACTCATACTTTTAAATTTTAAATAATACTATCTAACATCAATAATGTTAGAACGTGCTCACACTTAATGAGTTCAATTAAATGAATTATGTGATATTGTATTTAAGTGAATATATTATTTAATGTTATGCAGTTGCAACTTACATTGTTGCTTGACATCAGGGTGCTAAACATTACTCTTGAATTTCGATTACAAATGGGTGCTGACTTGAGCTTTCGATAGCACTGTCTTCGATGAAGCCAAAAGGTTATACTTATTGAGGAATGGGCCTAGACTCTAGTTTAGTTTGAAAAAAAAAATTAATAATAATAAGCTCCTGTTTGGTACACATTACTTCAAAATATATTTTTTCAAAACTCATTTTCAATCACATATTTTTCAATAAAATAATATTTTACTTCACATCAATAACTTTTCATTACTTTTTAACCACATATTTCAAATTATATCACTATTTAAGATACAATAATCAAATATTATATTTGTAGAGGAATAGCTCTAGTTTGATTAGAATAGAGAACAATAGTATGGTGAAGATCTAGCTCGATTAGGATTCAACTTGATGGTTGGAACTGGGCTTGAATTGGTGATCACATTCCACTTTTTTTTTTTTTTAATTAAATGCATTGCGGGTTATTCAACTTGAGAAGAGTTGTGTCTAGATTACTCGTCATCAATTTGATTCAAAGCAAATAGAAGTTGGTGACTCGATTGAACAAATTTGAAAATGAGCATCTAGATATGATAGGAAATTGAACTTAGGTGATATGATTGCACCAAATTAATGTTGAGTGACCCAGGGCGGACTCGGGAAATTTTTTCGGTGCAAGCAATATTAGTAAAGGTAAAAAAAATAACAAAATTATAACACAAACATTATATTAAAAATGAAGTACCTTACAATTATTTTTTACGAGTTTTCATACTTTGATGTCTTTGTACAATCATTTCATTATCATTCTTTAATAATATATTTTTCTCCACAGAAATTTGTGATCGTACGAGTTTGGGCTGCTCTGTTTCGTTTTGTTTAACAATGTCTCTTTTTTTTTTTTTTTTTTTTGCGCTCTTTTAATTTGATTTGAAGAAAGAAATTCATCTAAAGCTTCTATTTATTATAATCAAATTTGAAGTTGGGCTAATGTGTCTTAATTGTTAGCCGTTCATTTGTTATGACAGTCATTAGCTCATTAGAGTTGATTCCTATGTGTATATATCATTGCTCATTACCCATCATTTCTTAACCCATTTGTTAGGTTTCCTTTGCATTCATACTTGTTATCTATAAGCAATGTACTGATCTTAGTTAAGTATGAAGAGTTGAAAATCAAATGATCCATTATGAATATTTCACAAACGATTTCACGCTTCCTGTTGTAGCTATTGTGTCATTTAAAGAGCATGTATGTTGTAGTTAACAAGACAATCTTATAAGATTGGGCCAATTATCTCGCCCATTTCATTTTTTTTTGAACTCGGGCGGTTGACTAATATTGTTAAATGGACGAGGCCCAAAGTTCAATAGAGGTATTTGCTTGCACTGGGCCATGGATATGGCCCAAAGTTCAGTGCAGGCATCTGCTTCCACTGAAGCCTTCATTGGATCCGCCCCTAAAATGACTTAGATGCATATTCACTCAAAGTTGGATAATCTGATGTGTACATTTTTTAAGATTGTCAATGTTGCAATCAAATTTATACATTTTTAATATTTCCATTTGGATACTTCACTTAGGGTTCGTTTGATTGCAACGGTGAAAAATTGGTGGAAAGAAAATGATTTTTAGAGAAAATAATTGCTTAGAAAATATTTTGTAGGGAATTGTTAATTAAGTGTGTTTGATTGGAATAATTTTTCACCCGAAAAATTTTTAAATTTTCTATTTGTTTGCCTTTTATTTTATATGGAAATTTTCTATTAAAGTGATAATTTTTTCCACAATTGGTTATAAAATTTGTTTCCATTGTCAAAAAGTAAAAAAAAAAAAAATTGTTTCCTAAAAAATCATTTTTTTAATCAAAGTTTAGTGTTCGTTTGACTTAATTTCACATGAAAATTATCTATTAAAGTTAAATTTTATGGAATAAAATGTAATAGAATAATTTCTCAAAATTTCGTTTGACTTTGTTTTACATGAAAATTGTCCATTAAAGTAAATTTTTTTTTACCATTGGTTATGACATATGTTTCCATTACCAAAAAAACAAAAAAAAAAAGTGAACTGGAAAATAATTTCCCACCAAAAAGGTGGGAAAACCTTTTCCTCCAAAATCAGGCAAATAGGCGCGTGAGGTACAAGGGTAGAAAAAATTTTGCCTAGAAAAAAAAGCCATCAAACAAATCATATTGGGTGAAAAAGGAAATCATTTTCCATTTTTCAAGGAAAATAAGGCATGTAAAAGAGGGTCTTAGAGTATGGTTGGGTGCTTATTTATTTTTAAGTTACAATGTTTGTTGTGTGATTTTAAATCATGGTTATTAAACTTGATTCGTCATTGACTTAGTCAAAACATTGAGTCATCGATTCACTAGTTTAACTGCAAAGCCAATTAATTAAATGTTCGATCATTGCTTGATACAAATTTAAACGGAAATATTTTTAAGAACATAAAACAGCTAAAAATTTTAAACTCAAAGCATTAGAAACTTATGGCATGAAATTGGTATAGATTTATTAAGATAAAATGCTCAAGTATTCTTGTTTTTGGATTTTCCAAAAATTAATTAGAAATATATCAATTTTTTAATCATCGTGATCATCAATTTAGTCATCATAAAACAAGATAATTAATTATTATGCATCTCTTAACAAGTTCTTGCTCGTCACGAACAACCTTACAACTTGAAGGTCCTAGGTTCAAATCACTTTCATAGCAATTTTAAGAAATATCGCGAGAATTTTTACTCTTTATAACTATACTTTAAATGCCTAGCTAGATTGTAAAATACAAACCACATTTTAATTTGGTTATTATTCTCAATCACATGGTTAAGTGTACCCACTCATAATTTTACCGAAATAGCTTATTCAATAAAATAGATCATGCGAATAAAAACAAAAACTAAACATCCAGTCGTATCCTACATAGCATCTTCACTTGTCACAAAAGAAAAGTGACCATCAGTAGAGGAGTTAACCCAGATTGAGATAATTTAAATAAAATTCATGAGAATTTTCTCCAAAAGAAGGGAAACTGTATAAAATAAAGTATGAAAAACAATCATAATGTTTTCACATATATTTGGTCACAAGTAACAACAGATACTACAACACATTGCCAAAGCTGATCAATTACAACCACTGTTTCAACATGAGGTGGTAAATTACAAAATATTTAGTTGATTTTCATTGATTTACAGGAGATCATTGTTTCTGTTTCTTTTTTTCTCTGTTTTTTTTTTCAGGGCCGAGTGTAGGCAGGGTCTGTTTTTGGTTGGTTTCGAGATCGAAAAAAAAATACATTATGTTACACTCTCCTTGCTCATTACCCATAGCCCTACAGTTCTTGGCAAAAGCGTGCATAAGACCCTAGAAAAACCAGCATGCTAAAATCCCACGTTACTGATATCCAGAACCCATCTCAAGTTATAGAGGTAACTTAATCTTCTCGGACCATTTGAAGATGTCCGAGTACACAAGATCGCCTCCCAACTCTTCTCCCTTAGCCCCAGCAGCGATTCGCATAATGTCCTCAATTAGTGCAAAATTTCCCATTATATCAACATGGGCTCCGCTCTGAGTGCCACGGCCTTCAAGAAGACTAGATGGAGGAGCATGATCGTACTCCCTTATGTATGTTGGAATTCCCGAAGGATTGAATCTTGTTTTTCCACGCCACCCTTTCGCATTCATAAAGCCTGCGCTTAAAACAGGTACTGTCTCATCCCCGTCAATAGTAAAAACACCATCTTTTAAACACCTGCCTTCATCATCTGCTGATGTATCGATCTGAAATGGAATATAGCACTCTGCTGCAGGAGTCAACCTGTAAACATAAGCTCTTTCTGTTGGGATGCCAACTCCGTACATCGAGAAGATTTCCATATCAGGAGCATTTGGTAACCTGCAAGATCAAGCATTTCTAAAAATAAGTCCTATGAACCTGTAATGATGGTAGCAAAAATAGTGCAATAACTACAACATGCCACTGAAATAAATCCTTAATGAGTTGATGTTATAGTTAATTAGCTTTCAAAAACAACAACATTCTTGGATTACTACAGGAATAAAATAGTATCCGTGCATAAGATGAAGAAATAAAATGCAAAATGCCTTACATTGTTTCCAATGGATTAGACCAGTATTTATAGTGCTGATACTTCGGGTCTTCCAAATTGTCAGCTATCCCATATGAAAAATGAGCACTACCACGTTCCATCATTTTAGGGGCAACAAACTGTAGCAGATCTAAGATATCTCCGGCTGTGTAAGTTTTATATTCTGCAATAGCTTTGATGCCACCAAAACCCATGTCATGATACTCTGTCCATACATCACGACATGTGTGATTAGCAACATTGCTACCCTTTACAGCATCCTGCATGGGAAAAACCAATTGATCACATTAAGTTCAGTCAGACTTCTCTTGCTGCAACGCAGATGATGCACTTGAGCTGAGTACGACTTTTTAAGATCTTAGTTTAGCAGTAATCGAAGACAATGTATAGAATAAAACTTATCTAAAGTAGAGAATAAGAGCCAAGTAAAGGGAGGCACAGAAAATGAAATGTTTCTTTCAGGAAAGAAAGATCATTTATTATTAATACGAAGTACAGTTCCCGTTTCATTCCGTTCTCAATATCGTTAAATCAAATTAACAGATGCAATTGGACATAGTGCGATCAAATTTCTGTAAGGCCAGTTTTGAAAAGCTAACTTATACGCGCAACCATTTCACTCTTTATTGTGATTCCGAGCTGTGTTCCTCTTGTAGAACATGGTTCTTTCAATTGAATGCCACAAGACAAGATAGAAATAATAGAAAAGAACGCATTTTACTCTTTGTTGTTAATGACCACAATTGTCATACAGACTTCATTCATAGACTAACTAAAAGGAAAAATGCTAGATGCACATCAAAAAGTGTACATCAAGGTCTACATCCCCTCACATGGAGGGATCTACTCGAATACAATATTCGAGTGGGCTCCTTACCCATGTGAGGGGGGTGTACACCGTGATGTACACCCCAATGGGCCACTAGCATGACTCAACTAAAAGGTTGGTCAAATTTCAGTTGAAAAAAATTCTCCAGAATATTCTTTTCTCTTACTTTTTCACCATGCCATAGTTCTGTTTCAGGAGATTTTGGGCAGATGTCACTGTTTCAATTTGATCAGTACTAAACTAAATCCAGAAATTGTAATAGAAAAGAAATAAGGGAGGTTTGTGATAATTTTTCAATCTTTTCTACTATTGCAGAAAAATAAACAGTTAGGCAGCAATTTCAAAGAAACATCCACCACATCGAAACACAGTGCGAAATGGAAGACAACAGCATTAAACGTTGAAAACTACCAACTAAATTAACACTTCAAAGAGGAATCTGATTTCTAATTAAACAGTTATCATAAATGTTACCCGAAAGTCGATCCTCTCAATCTCTGAAGAATGTGCCTCTGCCACATCTTTTCCAAATGATATTATTCTTCCATAATTGACACGTTTTACTTTAGATTCAATTTTTTCGTCCTCATTAGTAACATTGTTTCTTTGCCTCCTTTTGCTAGGAACATAGCCTTCCTCAGGTGACCAATCAAGACCACCCCAAATAGCGTCTCCACCTTTTGGTATCATCGACATGGTTGAATCCCATGTCCTGGTCATCTTCATTATGTGCTGTAAAGTTTGAATGTGAAATAAATCCGTATCCAGAACTCCTGGAGCTATAGCCCTGCAGTTCAGTTGATAAATTGCTATAAAGTAAGCCCACAGAGTTGACTTGAGAAGATATAGTGGGTACTTAAAAAATCATTTCAGAATTTACCTGGCAACAGCAATATCTCTTGCTTCGGCAGAGAAAAGCCCAGAGACAGCTTTTGGAACGCCTAAAAATGGACCCCCAATGTTCACAACAGTCCTTATATGCTTAGCACACCAATCTGGACCTCCCCCTCCACCCATTGGAGCAGGGGCCTCCACCCACTTCATGAAATGCAAAAAGTACAAAACACCCATTGAATGTGGAATTATAACTGCCTTGTTGCCACCATTTGTAGCAACCATCAGTTCTATATTACTTTTTATCCTGCTCAGTGACTTGTCACGCACCTATAAAGCACATAGATATGTCAAAAAATTGCTTATCAGAAAGACCTTGCATGCACATGAGGATGTGACCAAGTGTTTTAGACATGTACCTCCGTATTCTGGAATGAGAGTCTCCAATCATATGAAGCCATATGCATAGTTTTTTCCTCGTATCCAATCCGAGCAAGATTAGCAATTAGAACTGCCCAGACAAAATATCCAGGAGCAAAGTAATCTGCAGCAACAAGACCAGTGACAGGCCTGACCCTTATACCAGGAGGATCCAAACCAGTTTCATTGTCTAGTGACATATGCTCCACCCAACATAAAGGCCTGTACGATAAAAATGTCACTTATACGCTTCCTTTTTGCCACATATAATTTTAAAAGTTACACTCTCGCTAACAAAACGTCCTTCTCTAAAAATTAAGTCATACTTTTAAGCTTAGCCAAACATGCTCAATTATTTAGCCGAAGGCATGATAAGCCTTGAGGAGCTTAAGAATGTTCAAAGAAAGGGAAGAATAAATGACTAATTAACTCCACAAAGAAGTAAAAGCAACTGTAATTGCATATCTTTTTTTCTTCTGACAGCTAATAAAATTGATTAAGAACTTTTTGGGGAGATTCCTATAAGCGCAATCTAAGAATGCAAACTGCTCGGAAGTTAACTATAATTGAATAATGGAAGTTATAAATATAAAGCAAGTCAGCAACTTAGAAATGAAGGGGCTTCTGTCCAATTCCTACAGCACACACTTTCTAGTCAAACTAAGGAGTTATAATGAGAAAAAATTGCTAACAACCTTGGTGAAGAATTCAATACAAATAGCGTGATTACACGATTTGCAAATCTCCCTCTCATTCAGAAAGACTTTAAGATGCTGCTTGGTTCCTTCTCAATTACATATTGCCTTGAGTTTTAGCATCATGGATGCACATGGAAAAAACAAAGAAATCAAACAAAAATAAACATAGGGAAGAAAAACAGACGTCAAAGACGTAAAGGTTTTATATTTGAATATCTGGTTAAATAGAAGCAGATGTGATCTTCGGAATAAACCAAGCCTCAGGTTTATAAGTGCAGAATAGAGACTGGATGTTGGAATGAGTATGTGCAATCCCACCCAACACATCAGTTCCTCAGAGTTACGGCAGGAAAATAGCTTAATTGGAAGGCCCCATTGAGTAACACACTGATGCAAGGCAAATAGCTCAATAAAGTGAACCTGTTTTAAACTTTTACAATTTGATTTCGGCCTTGCTTGTGTATGTTTTAATTGGAAGGTGGGTAGATCCCAACATAAAATCATCAGTTTTTCACCATATCATGAAATACAAAACTCTTACTGCAATAACAAGTCAGTGTATCAAAATTCAAAAGAAAACTTTCCTTCATTACTATAAGTCCATAACCCAGTACATTTGCCTTCACGTCGCTAAAGTGATCCTATTTCCATCTAAGAAACAAAGAACAGCTAAGAAAATTAGCTCATTTTCAAGACATAAATGCCCTTCACTTCTATTTCTCAATCTTCCATCCATCTAAAAGGACATTCAAAAGAAATCAAGTAGACTACAAATTAAACACTACTTCAGCAACCATTCTTATGGAAATGGTTACTGCATTTTGTATGGAAACATGATTTTCTCTAAACTCTCAATAATCTAACAATGAAACAAAACCTCGTGAAATAAAAGGTAATGATCCTTGTTATGCATACAAGTAAAAAAAATGTGAATTGATCAAAGAATACAACAATAAAGCACATAAAAAATGGATTGTTTTGGATGCTCAACAATTAACAAAAAAGTTCTAAATTGCATGTGTAACCTTAATCTAGAAATAGACATAATTTCTTTTCAAGATTCTCAGCGATTAATGTCCATAAGTAGAGAGTTATTACTAATCACACAATGGAAAAGAGAGGTCAAAAGAACATATCACATTTACGTATTTCCTTAAAATCGCATCTTTAATCCTATATATACACAATAAAATCCAAAAAACTCAACATCAATCATTCGGCAAATGAGTAATTAATCCCACAAAACACATAAATACCTCTTGTAAACTTCCCCGAATGTCCCGCCCCAAAGCCTTTTGCGGAACAATCCATCAGCACAGTGGTGTCCCTCCCAGAGCTCAAGCCCAGCGGTAACAATCCCCGGCACAAAAACCACGGGATGCTTGGCCTTCAATCCCTCCTTCTGCAACTTCACGCCTGGTGGGTCCGGCATCGGCCCCGTTATAACCTCCGTCATGTATTGCGGGAACGAAGAAGGCATCATGTTGTACAGAAACAATAGCACCCACCACACCACGCATGTGCACCCAATAAACCAACAACAACTGTCAACACAATTCCACTTGCTCTGCTGCTTCTGGGATTTTTGAATCTCATTTTTATTGTCAATTATCTTCTTGTCCTTCTCATTCCCATCTGGGTTCGGATCGGGAACTTGGGTTCGTTCATTTTCTGGGACTTTCCTCCTTCGAACCAGAGACATTGATTTTTTTAATTTTTTTTTCAGGTTTCTCAATATAATCAGACTCTTACTGCTATTTTTCGTTCTTTTCTTTCAGGGATTGCGGCGGTGTGGGTGGAGAAGGAGGGAGGAGGCACGGTGGTGAGAATGCCTCGAGGAACTGGGGGATTTATTATGGGCTTGGGATTGGGTGGTCAAAAGTGGTGCTTGGGACCAAGAATGGACAAACAAATCTCGTAACGTGGCTGCAGTTATTGATGATGCTTGTACACTATCTTCAAGTGGACGGTTATAGAAATTTCATTTATGGAAATAAAGTTATTTTTCATCTTGGTTTCCAACAATAAATGCTCATGAGTTAATTGTTTCCAATTGAACTTACGTCTCTATTTTCGACTTTTCACTGAAATTTTAGATATAAAATTTTGGTTACTAAATTTATCAAAATGTTGGACATTACTCACACGTTCGTTAATCAACTCTACCGAAATTGGTGACATGGCGTATGGAATGCACGTGCGTAACTCATGGCATACCAAATTGTCACATAAGAAAAATGCGTCTTTGATTGTTCACTGTACTTTGAAAAAGGTCTTTGATTATTCATTATATTTTTAAAAGTATAATGAGCAAACAAATACGTCTTTAAAAGTATATTGAGTAATCAAAGATTTTTTTTCAAAATACAGTGAACAATCAAACATGCCTTTTCTTACATGGCAATTTGATGTGTCATGAGTTATGTTACTTGTGCCATGAGTTACGTTACGTGTACATTCCATCTACCATGTCACCAATTCCCCTAACATTGAGTAACGAATGTCATTCCAATGAATAACATCTAAGTTTAATAGCCAAAACTTGACATCTGGAACTTCAACAGTCGAAAACACAAACATAAATTCAATGATTATTGAGACAATTAACTCAATGTTTATACATTCTTTTTTACAATTTGTTATTTGTTATAATTCCTTAAGAAATTGGCTTCAACAATCTTGAATATTTGTCCATTTTGCGGGTTTTATCTAAATCTTCAAATTTCAGCACTAAGGGTGCGTTTGATTGCAAGGGTGGAAAGAAAATATTTTACAGGGAAAAAATTTGTCTAGAAAATGTTTTGCAAGGAAAATGATTTCA